GTCTCACAAAAACACAATAATAGTTATACTACAATATAAATATAGTATTTAAATACCTAATATTTTGATAACACTGTGTTATAATATTTAGCGTGCCTACTTTCCGTCTCTCCAAGTCGTGAATTCGAAATGATTTTTTTAACAATTTAATATTGACAATAGTTTGATTATTTCATTTAACTTAAGTATATAACTACGTAAAATGTGGAAGTGCTGTGGTATCTCTGATACATTTGAATATATTGTTGCTTCTTTATATGTGGCGTTTCCGTTCCTCTTTTCCTAGACTTGAGGTCAATCTATTTAAGATATAAATGGTTTTTAATAAAAATGATTCATTCAATTGGTAATTGCGGAGTCAAAAAGTAAAATATCACAATAATTTTCTTAATAATTTATAAATACTAATAAAAACACAGCATGAAAACGGAAATATTAAATGGAAAAAACCAGTTTTCAACAAAATCGAGTTTGTTTTTTGTTATAATTTAAAAATATGCATTGTAGAATCTTCTAAATGTGCATAATTATTCATATTTGTATACAAATTGTTTCAAACGTGACATCATTTTTAAAATATTTTAGATATACTTAAAAATAAAAAAGTTTAATACACTTGCATGACAGCAATAACAATTAGAAATAATAATTGGTCATTAAACTAAAATTAAGAAAATTAAGATTCCCCTACTAGCTACCATATGACTACTGTACAGGATTATTTCCAACAATCGATCCATTGTCATTAAAACATTAGGTACATATAAAACAAACTCTTATTACTACTATTTTTATTGCTTCCATAATACTCATAATAGTTATAATTTCATGTCCCTTATACATCATAACGATCCATAATTCTTAAAACAATTCTTATTTTACATCAACTAATATTTTTTTAAACATAATATCAGCATAGCCACACAAAAATTGACAAAAAGTGATATACCTACTACATACTAATTTTGAACTTTCCCTTCATACCGCAGTTGTATAATATATTTATATAACAAGCGAGTGAAATTTAATTTACAAAAATGTCACCTATTTACTAATTATTTATACGTATTTAAATTGTTTAATGTAAAGAGAAGTTTTTAAGGATTATAATAACAAGAGGTATTATAGGTAAAATTAAATATATATCATGTATTAAAAGTTTTATAATAAAGTTAATGAGTTAAGTCAAATAAAATAAGTGTTGTAATTTATTCTTAATGCATACCGGTTACCTTCAAGGCATCAATAGAGAAAGCATTGTCAGAAAGAAAAGAAAGGTAATATATAATACTATGTATATATTATATTTAAGTCCTATTCAAATTATTACAGTGATATTGAGACTCGTGTGGGTAACTGCTCTAATGTGAATTGTTGTTATATTTATTTTAAAAGACATTATTTTGATCAAATCGCCTCAGATCTAAGTGGGTAAATAAATAATCGGTTTAAATGTTCAATTTATGTACACTGTACACATGTCACATACTATTAAGATATTGTTTTAGGGTGTATCGTCATACATATTTTATAGTTTTCAAATACGCAATAGTTTTGAATTCATATTGAACTATCACCCAATAAATAAAAATAACGATATCCATTTCGACTACTTCTCTATATAGTAGCTAATAGACACATTGCGTACAGTGCAAATTGTATAGGTACTATATTGTATTCTTCAATACATTATAGTCATTATACGATTATTTATTTAAGTAAATAAACCGTATAGACAGTTTTTGAAGTGTATGATTTGGATTCTGAATACAGCAATCTTGCATGAAACATATTTAAATGATTTTTAAAAAAACAAAATAATGTCAGACTAAATTCAAATCGGAATGAGGATAAACAAAAGTAATTTGTTAAAAAACATTTTTTTTCCACAGTTATTTCAAGTCGTTTGGAAATTATTCATTTCAAATAAAAACATTGTATAATAATTTATTGTAATGTAAAATTATTACATTGGAAATAATAATGAATAATAATAAATAATAATCTACCAGTATTTTATTATTAAATTGCCTAAATAAAATAAATTCCATAGACCCAATATTGTATATATTATATTATATTTTTGTAAAACTATTATCATTATACCTATAAACCTATGTATAAATTATTTTAAAATTTTAATTTTGATAAGTATATCAACATTTAAAAAAAAAATCATCTTTTATTTACTACCAAACGTGAATTAAATCACCATTTTTAATTTCAACATTTAAACTTGCAAGTTATAAATCATTAAGACAAATATAGTGATTTATAAAACATATATGCCTACTAATTTTAATACGTGTCATTTCATAGGTTAACGATATAAAAATTAATGTTACTTTAACCTCACGATAAAAAAAAATAGCGGAAAACGGCATTTACCGTTTGAACATATAGTATTTAAAAAAAAAAAAATTAAGATAAAGTGCTTGATACTGAGTATATAATTACTAATTATACCATACTATTTATACCAGCATTAATATTATACCACTCTAAACGTATACCGGATACTACCTTCAATATGACAGAACGCGTGCTTGCTGCTCACTGCTATCTATATCTTCAGTTTATTTCATATATTGTAATATTACAGGAAATATTAATACAAAAATAAAAATGTATATTATAAAACGTACTGATGTAATATAATATATACCTACATTAAAAAAAAAAATGTTTTAAAATAAAAATTTAAAATTAACAATTACGTAGAAATAAATAGTTCATCTACATACTACAAAAGTGTCTACTTCCTAGCTTTTTATAAAACATACTTTAGTAAGATAGATCAAGAGTATGAAAATAATTTAATAGTGTTATAAAGTCAAAAGTGGTTAGTGTCGTTCCCTTTAAAATAATATCTGGCTACAATTACAAAATTCTACGTGCTCTAGTGCTCAGAGTTAATTTATTCAATAAAAAATGGTAGGTAAGTGAGTACTACTGTAATGATATGCTCACACATCATTGTTTATTACATATTCATAAAATTCAAATAAATAAATTAACGGTCAAGTTGTCGCACGCAGATTAAAACCCCATAAACATCCTTTCACCACTGATGAAAGAAACGACTTATATTATATAGTCACAAAGGAATTGACACATGATTTGTAGCAATGTGCTGCAAAGCGTTTGACCCAGTTTCGTGTGCCGCTAGAGATAAGGGATGGTCCAATAAAGGTTTCTGTCGCCTAGGAGAAATCCTATTTCTTTAGAAAATGTAGAGACCTTTGATAATGCCGCCTGAGACTCTGGTTGGCTTGATCAGGTCGTATTCTCTCATTAGTGCATGAACATCAGCTAAGCTATCGAGTGCACGAGCACTAACTAAATTACGAGTGCAGGCGCACCAGACAAGCGAGCAGGAGCTCTTCCCAAAACCACCACACGGCATACACACAAGATTCTACGAGCGACAGCTGGACTTCTATTTTTATAAATTAAATCAGAATTATTTTTCTTAAGTCGTATCATATAATTTGTGTCACCTTACATCTTTCTCCGAGGAACGTACTATAAGTATTCACTGCGGCGAATCAGGTAAGGTGCATGTCTAAAATACTTATTGTTAGTACAGATTATTTTACTATCTAATTTGCGTAACGGTTTATTTGATCATATTCTCGAATCACGATCTCGAGAGCCCTCCAAAGAACAGGAGTAAGATAATAACACAAGAACAAGTATATTCAATAATTATTATTACCGGACTTACATACAAGGCTTGTATCCCTTGTGTCAGTCCGACCGCATCTCCTCCCCTTTTTTGGCTTATTTTTAACTACCATATTTTTTATTTCTTTTGCTTTATTTTCTCGTTATTACACTACTTTGCTGTACATTAGATGTCGACTACTCGAGTGGATTACAATTAAGGATGTGTTAAATTTGAATTCAACAATATCATTGCATATTATGTAAAATGATTCTGAGTAGAGGCAGTCTGTCAATTTATATCACTGAGTAAATTTCATCAAATATTTTTTAGTATAGGTAGCTATTAAAGTCATTCGTTTTACTTTTAGTATTAAAGTAGTTTCATATAGTTTTTCCAAAAATATTGCATTATTCATTATATTATTAGTATTCAATTATTATAATTATATATATATATATATATATATTATATATATATATCTGTACAAAATTATATGAATTGATATAAAATATAGCTAAAAATTTAATAACAACTCTTTGTAAATACCGTAAATAGTATAAGTAAGTTCATATATACTTATAAAGTATAAATATATCTTGTAAGAAATCAAAAATATCATTGGTATAGTAAAATTCGTTAAAGTTTATGTAAAGATCATATGCTAAATTTTCAAGAATATGAATTGACCCAGCTAATAATTTTTTAACAAGAGTTATAGAAAAAATATTAAAAAACTAAAAAAAATTAATATTTTTCTTGTTTCAAAATGTTGAAAATTTTATAGTGAATAAAAAATGATAAAAATAAACATTTGGTGAAAATGTCAGGTATCTACAGTTATTTTTTTCTTTTAGTTGCATCAAAAAATAAAATTGATTTCGTTAAAAAATGAATTTTGCATCTTCGTTTTTCTTTTAATTCGTTTTATCGGGTTATTAAATTTTAGATACTTTTACTTTTGATTTCTCAAAGTAACAACTAGATCCAATTTGTTACCATAAGCCACCCTTATTTTTTAAAATAAAATCATTTTTACTGCTTCAAAAGGCCAAAAAGTTTAAAAAAAAAAACACACACCATTATAAAATCAATAAATCAATACATCCATTGCTCCGCTCAGAACCTAAATAATTCTATAAGAGTGTTTTTATTTTTTTGATAAACGTTTAAATCGTGATATTAATTGAACATAAAAAACAAACCTTTAGATAAAAAGCAAATTAGCATTCTTTTCTTTATCCTATTAGCAAAAAAAAAAAAAAGTCCTTCAAATTTACTAACATTTATTTTTATCTTTATTTATATTTACAATTATTATTTAATGTGACACCTAAGGATGAGGTTTTTCAATGGACAATTTTGTAAAATCCACTTCTATTTCTGTAGTTGAAACTCTTAGTAAATGTCTCAAGGTTTCATCTGTAAAACGATTTCTTTCCTTCGATTTAATATGTTTCAAGTTCGAAAATGTACATTTGCATATGTATGTGGTTCCAAACATAGATAACATTTTTAATGCGAAATCTCTTAGAATTGGATATTTTTCAACTGGTAATGTTTTCCAAAATGACACATCAATCTCTTTTGCAGATAAAAATGGATCAACTGCCATAGGATTATTAAATAAATTTATTTGAGGACGCATAAGTTCAATTTCTTCAAATCGTTTTTTGAACTCTACAATCAATTCATCAATGTGGGTAATGCAATGTTCAAAATTAAATTCATTATCAAATTCTTGTTTTATAACTTCACAACACAGAAAATGTATTAATTTATTTTCAACAAATACATTTTTAAACAGTTCCAATTTTTTTCTGAATCCATCTAAAAAGCCTATTATTTGAGATATTGTTTGTTTTCTACCTTGTAGTTGTAAATTTAATTTATTTAAATGTTGAGAAATATCCGTTAAAAATGCTAATGAACATAGAAATTGTTTATCAACTAATTGATTTTCAAAATAAGTGGTATCAGTTGTAATATTTGTTTTAAGAAAATTTAATATTTCTTTTCTCAAACTAAAAAAAACGTTCGAGACACTTTCCTCGACTTAACTAGCGTACATCTGTGTACAATAATAAATCACCATACTCACAATCAAGTTCTTCCAAATAATTAATAAAATTACGGTGGTTCAACTACAGTTGCCTCTTCTAATTTGATTAGTAATTTTAAATACTGTATTCATAATGTTATAAAGTTTCATTATTTTACCACACAACGCTTCTTGATGAATAATGCAATGTATTGCAGGAACATTAATATCAGATTTGCGCAATAATCCAACAAAACCAATATTTTTGCCAACCATAGATTTTGCACCATCAGTCACAACCGATGACATTTTTTTGAAACCTCCAAATAGTTCAATTGCATTTTTTACAGCATAAAAAAAATATCAATTCCTTTGGTTGATCCATGCAAGGAACACAATTCTAAAAGTTCTTCATACATTTCAAATTGTGGAGAAATAACTAACAAATATTAAAAATTGACTTTCATCTGAAACATCAGTACTTTCATCTAATGCTATTGAAAAATATGCGCAATTCATCATTATAGTTTACAATGTTTCACGAATAACACTATCAGTGTCAGCTATACGACGTGTCAGTCATACATCTTGAAAGTGATATTTTTTCAAATTCACTCCCAATTCTATTTTCGTTTATTGATTTAGCCATTTTTATTGCACAGTTTTTAATAAATTCACCATCACTCAGAGATTTCTTAGATTTTGCAATTTCATTAGAAATAACGTATGATGCCATTAAACTTAATTGTTGTGAAGTTGTTGCTTTTACCATCACATTTTGTTGGAATTGGAGTTTTCTTTTCAGATCAACTACAATATTTTCTCTTGCGACACCGGTGTACCTATTTATCATATTTGGACGAATGATTTGTCATGTAATTTCTTTTCAAATTATATTCTTTTAGTACTGCAATAATATTTAAACAAACTAAATATTGAGGTTTTTTGTTTATTAATAATAAAAAAATATTCATTCTCCCATAAGCTGTTAAAAATTCTATTTTCGTCTTCGATTTTACGCTTTTAAGCGGTCATTTTTAAAATAATTACTACAAAACACGAAAATAATAGTACTAACGACGCGGCGGTGTGACACTACGGCAGTACGGATATGACTAAACCGATAAAATGAAATAAATAGTACATAGGTATGTTAACTACGCCTTTATAAATATATATTTAGATATTTAATAATTTAGTTTCGGTTTAAAACTAGATAAGAATTTATATCCACATTTTATCGAAAAATGTAATAAAATAAAATAAAATACAGATAAACGCTAAAATTATACGAAGTAATTTGAAAATGTAGCGCGGACCAGATAAAAAAGGTACGCGGGCCGCCAGTTGCCCATCCCTGTTATAGATGAACAAGTGATTTTAGTGTTCATTCGCTTGATTATGCACAGTCCCAGTTTCTCAAGAATTTGATAGTTTCACTTTCACATAATATGCATGTATAATAATTTCTGACATGAACCTAGTTAAAACGAAAACGATAAATGACTACTTAATGGTAATTACAAATTATAATATTATCTACTACCAAAATGCTAAGTTAAGTTATATAAGCTGATAAAATAATGAGATGTCCATTCAAAAGGAAATTTGTGTTTAAATGTGTAAGTATAAATTGAAATGCGTTTAAATGAATAATTTTAAAATATTAGGTACTTATTCTTATGGCTTATCGTATGCGGTCTCCCACCTGTCGCGTCTAATGATTCTAATGTCATTTGTCATTTCCAACGGCAATGACGATTGAGCTTTATCTTAACGATGTAACTTCATTATAATATATTCAAGTGATATTATTTTAAAATGAAAGACTTTACACTTTAGCAGTTTAGTACATAATATTACTTTTCTTATCTGTGTAAAAAGGAGATTCGCCAAAACACTTTGTGTATGCTTCTCTTATCTATGTTCTGGAAAAAACGTAATTGGCGCCATCACGGGTTAATATTATGAATGACAGTGTAACCGCTGTAACCATCATTTATATTCGCTACCTCGGTATATGATTAATGTTATCAATCCCCGTTGTCGGTTGTTTACGTTTCGGCAGTCGGCTTGAGAGTTGAGAATATCCGTCTTAGCGTTATTCGTGTACCTTTTATACATCAATTTTTTATATTAATAAATTAAAGTAGTATATTATAATAAGTATTAAATACTTACTAAGTACACTGTAATTATAAGCTGATTAAACTAATTTCGTTTTATGTGAAGCAAATCACCCAATATTTGGAATCCGTTTATCAAAGATACGACTACTAACCTGAAAAAGGGAAATTGCCGGAAAGTAGATTTTCCATAGTGTTTCGTTCAGTACCCCTCACTTTAGACTACTGTTAAAATTGATAGTTCTTGGTAAAAAATTACACTTTCACTATATAATATCGTAGTTTTTAATTGTTTTGTGTACACAACGTTGCAACTTGCAATGATACATTAAACATTAAATTGATTGTTGCATTTATTTTCACTATAACTTTTTTTCTCCCAGAATCGAAATGGTTTTTGAACACTTGTCGTAAATGGAGCCAAGCAAAGTCACGAGTAAAACCAGTAGCTTGAAATCATTAGTGCTGAAAGCGTGGGGTGAACGTTGGACTGAAATTCAGTGGGGCATATCTATAAAATCGGTAAATATATATTTTTTTTTTTTTTTTTAGTAAATAGTTCACTAATGTAGCCTTGTTACAAAAAAAAAAAAAGTCGAAAGTATCATAAAAATTATGTTTTGTTTATTAATGTTAGTATTAGATTAACAGCCAATTGATATAAACTGTAGTATTGTTTATTTAGTTTTCAAAGTCAAAACAATATGGATGACTTGTTTGTTTTAATTTAGACTAATTTAAGTACTTTAATTTTAATACGCAGTTTAAATAAATTAGGATTACCATTAAACATTAATAAAACCATTTTTTTTACTACTAGATTCATATTTTTAATTATTACTTAATATTCTTTACCATGGTATATGAATAAAATAGATTGAAACAATGAAACATGCAATTAAAAAACCAACTTTTTTTTTCTTACTAATAATCTTATTAAATATAATAATAATGATAATAAATTATTTATTTATTTGGTTTGGTTATCAATAAAATTTTAACATATTTTATTGAATAAGATTTTTTAACATAAATTTAAGTTGTTGAAACATGCCAAAATGAACCATCAAACATTGGTAAATCTCACCAAACCGTACTCTTATCTAATAGCTTTCATTAATTATTATTATTTATTCGTTTTATTTTTTATCATATCAACAATTTTTTGAAGACACTGTGTTTAAGACTATTAATTTTTATATTGTATTCCTAAAAGTTAAAAAAAAAGAGTACCATAGATATAACAATATTATGTATTTTAAAAAAATTTGAAGTTGATCCCTTCTATATTTGTTGAGAAAACCTACTTTTTATATATTTCAGACTTAAAATCATTGTTATATATAGGTAGTATTTAAGAGTTATTGTGTAAGTAATTAACACGTTTACTGCTACATACCTGCCGGTGACCCAAGTGATGTTTTTTATTGTGAAGTTATTTGGATCGCTGGCGACCTAAATCATATTATTAATAAATATAACGCCACTTGGGTCATCTACCTCCCAAGTTAACATTAACATTAAATGCATATAATTCTTCAAGGCTTGAAGATAATAGTATTTAGATTAAACCATGTAAGATGAATTTGAAAATTTTTTAAAAAGAACAACAATAAAATTCTTCAACTGGTTTTAAAAATATCAATTTTATTAAAATTGAACAACTGAAGCTATTTTTATAAATGTAAAAATGGTATGGCCTGATACGCGTTAATATGACTTGAGTTGCCAGCGGGCATGTGACAGTCAATGTGTTAATGACCGTGTGGTCCAAGTATGGTTCAATTTTAGTTTGTAACATGTATAGTAAAATTAATTTCATTATTTATATTGTGTTAGCAATCAGTTGACAAAATATATACCATTATTATTAGTGTGCCTATCACATAAAAATAAATAGTTTGCACTATCTTAGTTTTACTAAGATACCTATTTAAATTTTTCAAACTAAAAAAAAAATCTTTTATTTTTCTCATAAATCTCCCTAATAAACATTTTTTAATGGTTTCTTATTAGGGTGAATTTTTAAAGATTATCAAGAAATTTCAACAAGAAAATTTTGGAATTGTCTACAAATCTATTCATGTGGACAAACATATCATTTAATTTTTAGTTATTTGAATATTTATTTATTTTTATTTGTTATTATATTAAATAAAGTGAAGTGACAGTGTATAAACCGTTTTGTTAATCAGGTGTTATAACATCCACTCAAAATGACTGCCAAATGTGAACAATTTGAAACCAACAAATGGACAATTATATCTTCCAAAAGCCATATTCTAGGATCAGGATGTTCTTCACGCAGTCAAGTACCATCACTATCGTGTTGTGACTTTTGTCGTTTTTCTGTTGAATTAAAACTTCATCATTTGCCTGAAATGGTATTTCCAAATAATATTTTAGAAATTAAATATGATGGAAAATCTGGAATACGATTTTGTGCCTTGGATTCACTAAGGGATGTTGATCCTTGTAAAGCGCCTGTAAAAATTGCTTGTTCAAAAGAATGGAAAGAATCTAGAATGGATAGTGGTCTTGTAGATAAAGATGTCAATATGTTTGATTGGACATATTCAACATACTATGAAGGGACATTATTTGGATATTCAGCTGTTGAAGCCACTGAAGAACGTATAAACATGGAAAAACTCAAAGTTCAAGAAGAGATACTTTTCTACTCAGATTTGACTTTATTTGAAGATGAATTACATGATAATGGCGTTGCTGTATGTTCTGTGAAAATACGCTGCATGCCTAGTGGTTTTTTTGCATTATTGCGATATTTTTTACGTGTAGATGGTGTCATGATGCGTTTACATGATACACGTTTGTATAAAGAAACAGAATGGGATTATGTATTAAGAGAAGTTTGCCGTAGAGAATTATACACAACAGAAATACCAGTTGGAAAATCTGGATCATTAACTGATCCTGGAAGTTTTGCTAATACTTTACCCATTGTCTATGAACGTTTTGAAAAAATTAAGTTTGATAAAAATTTGTAATTTTTTGTAATTTTTTTATCTGTTTAATTAAATACATACAAGTTTTGGTTATATTTTAGTAATTTAGATTAATAGAATATAATAGAATAGATTTAAGCTAATGATTATAACTAATAACAATAAATTTGTGCATATCTTAAATCTGAATATATTGTTTTGTTTATCCAACATAGTA